TGTAGATTCAGTAAGTCTTGCTGTATTTGTACATTTATACATTATGGAGCACATCTAATGAGTCAATAAGTGAATGATGAATGTATTCCTAGCTAGTTTCTTTGGATCTATGATGATTGGTTTTTTAATAATAAATAATACATATTTTATTATTTTATTTAGTAGTTACTTAATTATTAAACATACGACTATTTTTCGAGATCAATTCTAAGCATGCTCCTTCTCATTATAAATAACTAAATTAAATAAGGTTTTTTAATTGATGTATAATTCAGCCACAAAAAGAAAGCGGTAACAACTGAAGACTAACTGATAATTTATTTATTCAATAATATCATTCAAACAATGTCATCCTTTAGACATCACTCCAATTTAGAATTGTTCTCCAAACTTAAAGACATTGAAGAATGTATCACAACTTGCTGCTTCTCAGCAAAGTCTAGCATTTTCAGTGGATTTAGTGTAACTTGTTATTTAGTACTGCCTGACATTATGCATTCAAAGTAATGAGCTCAGCAAAATTGTTTACAACAAGAACTTAAGTTGAGCATTAATATATTTGTTAATTATGTTACTATATTTTAGAGATGAATGGTAGGACTACATTTAACATTAGAAAACATAAAAACTTTTTGGAGACGTTGATGATGGTAATAATTCAATTTCCAAATAGTGGTAATTTCAAATCTGCAGCGAAATCGAATCGAAAAACATATCATTAGAAGATATAAAAATATTATCAGCATAACTGTATAATTGTTGGATACAATAAATTATTACTGGAAGAGCATTAAAAGATAAACAAATAGTTGCAAAGAAGTAGTAGGTATTGCTGTTTAATATAAAATTTTATCATCCATTAAAAGGATTGGCTTTGATGATCCAATACATTTAAGCAGAATGTAGATAGTAGTGTAAATAATAGCATCAAAATCTGTACAGCAAAACATAAGCTTAAATTGTTTCTTAGTGCAGCAAATCTCATATTATTTTGGATATAAATCAGCAAATTATTTTCTTTTTGTAAGTTGGAGCATATTCTATACTATATAGAGTACAATAAGTATAACTTAAATATATGATGTACTTTATAAAGTAAGATGACACAATACATAGAACTACAAGTTAGTTAGAGAAGTATTGCTGTAAAACAACAGAGGTTTTATGAAGCCCTGTTACCCTCATAAGTATACTGAAAATATTATCATATGTTTCTAATTTATAGATTTTTATGCTATTCTAGATGGTTACAACTAATATTTTATTTGATGTCTCATGAACTAATGTTTGCTGAATCTGAGCAAAATTAAACCATCCTTACTGATGATTGTCCAAAGCCTTATGCACTAAACGAAATACAGGTTAACATAATGTTGACTGCTGGATTTAATATAAGTTGCAATTTGTAAAGTTTCAAGCTTCCAGTTACTTTATTCAATTGAAGTATTTGATAGCTACCCGTAGAAACTACTCTAAACATAATACATATTATGATGGCTATTTAGAATTAAGGGTGATGCTTTTCTACAAATGAGACTAATGCCAAATTGTGTTATGGACAAGGCTCTCACCTTATGAATTGTTTTAGAATTCAAAAAATGGAGCACTTTAAGTACATGATTTGTTGATAGTTGCTCATTTCAAGAGGTTCAGGCATTATCGCTAGAAAGACATGCCTTACTATTTGCAGTATCAATACCAAAAGAAAATAATTACGTTTTAAATTTCTCAAATATAAATATTAAACTTGTAATTGAAGTTGGAGATTTAGTAAGCTAACTTTGCGTAAACTTGAGCAAAAGCTCTGTTATATATCTTAATTAATATAGTCAGCAGTGCAGAATGCAGCTAAATATTGTACTTTAAATTTTAGTGCATTTAAATATTATCAACTTTAATACAGTAAATGATAGCACAAATTTAAACAATATATAAGCCTAAATTCTGTTAAGATCAATTAAACAAATGTCGATATTAGGTTCTCAAATTATTAGGCTTAGACTCTTGTCACATAATAAAAATATTTAATCTTCCGGTTTGTTGAGCATCCTAATACTTATTCCGCGTAATAGAATTTTT